TCCTCGCCTCCCCACAGCCAGAACAAGTTGCTATATCCGTTGACCTTCCGATATTGTTCCGGTGTGAACGCGGCCACTCCGCCCATGTGCGCAGCGTAGCCGCCTCTGTAAATAACCCCGCAATGATAGTAGAATCGAGTAGATAGATGTGGGATTATAACAATAGTTCTCTTACTGCTTATCTTGATAGTTGGACTCATGGTTCAAGTTTCGGTTACCTGACAAGTGATTACGCGGTTTATATATGATTAAGTGTACGATAAGAGCAATTTAAGAATATAAATACTTGCGCCAATCCTTGTGACGTACATTGAATGTTTTGACTGAGGAANATAAAATAATTTCTGTTGCAATTAGTGGTATATTAGTATTTTGACTGGACTATGGTATCAATATTGGATCCCATTCCCAAAATGTGTCAAACTTTTCATTTTGACTTTCTGTTTTTGTAATTATTAAGTGTGTGTAAGGTGCATCACAACAAAATTACCCTAGATTCACTTGCCACAGTGACATTCCTGGGCTGCAGTTCCACTGTGTCCGAAGTCACTAATTCTTCACCAGGATCCGACACAGAGGCCCCGCCTAGACCCTCATCATTGCATTTCTGAAATTGCATCATCATATTATCTACATAAACTGACATGTGACTTGTGACATGTACACTGATACAGTTCCTTATTGCTGGTTCAGTTCTGTAATAGTATATTGGTAAATATGTGTACTGCATGTTATGCATGTTATTTCCTACTTATCGTTGGATTTCACAATCTCTGGCATATGTGAAATATTACTTGGTACCTATGGGTCAGAGAAGATAAAGTAAACTGTAAGTTAATTTGCTCTATTTTAATATCCCATACAATCCAAAAATATCACTGAATCAATGTAAATAAATAATTTATCTCCATTCTTAGACAAACTGACTGAACACATTTGCTAAAGCACTTCATACTTTATACTCTACAGCTAAAATTATTGACATAAATTTGAAAGTGTGACAAGAAAAATATTTAGTTCATCGCATTAACAAACATGTAGCAATAGCCATTAATCAATGTGATTAAAAAAAAAGTAAACTGTATTCTGTACTCGTCCAGATAAAATATTCTTTTTCTCTGCCCCTGATATACTGTCAGGGTTCGAAATTAGATCTTTGTAGCCAAATCAGGCCCCTCCCTACGTTGCGCAAACCGGGCGCGCCCGCCCGGTTTGAGACCCCCCCATTTCAATCGTTGAATTCGTTTATCGAATTTGAGACTATAATTGATCGATTTTCGATTATAATCGATCATCGGGACATCACTAGCTGCAGCCACACACCAGTACAAACAGTCACCCTGTTTTCATAAGTAATGCGAAGATACATATGTTTTCTTTTGTTTCCTCTATGGTACATGTACATGCATCTTCAGTACTTATAATAAGATCTAGAAATGACACTAGAGATGTCATGTCACTTGCTCATAATTTTATTTGTAACCACTGACTGTTTATCCAGTAAAGCAAATTCTGCAATTTTCGCCAATAATATATAACACACTGTATGTCTTTATAGTAAAGTTAGAGGACTGTCTAAATCTCATAACTTGTAACTTTTGCAATATTTTTGTTGTTGTGTATGGATAGCAGGCCAGTTGGAAATAACTAATATTTACACAACCAATAAATTACCTCTTGGAGGAAAACTGTGCCAGTGTAACGCAGCTCTCTGACAGCTCTTGGCGTTGCGCGTTGCTGGAAGAATCTCTTCTAACTGTCTGCTGCCCCGGACCAATCGCCACAGTGTTATTGCTTTCTCTCTATGTCTCGGGTAGAAACTCAGTAGATGATTCCTAAATTCAACATCGGACATTTCCAGCTCCACACTCGTTTTTTTCCCATTTAGAGACACAGCATACCCTGAAATAACAATTGCATGTTCCAAACTGTTTACAACTGCTTTCAGATGAAGATCACCGACAAATCATCTACAGACTGTGAATGTCGTTTTTTGTAGCTGTCAACCTGAGTATGAATGAAATTGATATTTTGAGTAAACAGAATGGATAAAAACTTGGCTTTCTCGTCATTGACTGCTATATACTTTAGAGATGATATAAAAATTCTGATAAAAGTACACATGCAACTTGCTCCAGCTGTCATGACGGAGTTAACATCGATAAGGTCAAAATAATGCCTAATGCGGCATTTAATAGCTGTCTGAACCACTAAAAACCTGCCTACCCATAACTCTCTATATTTTCTGAGCTTTTTAAAAATAGACATATATGGCAAAGTATGCATAGGACATGGAGATTTTCACAGTGACACTAAAATGTAAAAAGAAAATTGGGGGCATAGATAGGAATGGGTAGGCAAACAACAAAGCCTCAAATCAGTGTACAACAGAAAAGCTCTCAACTCACCATAACCGGCTTGACTATGAGCAGAAATTAACTCCCTGCTCCTGTCCCCATTCAAATAAGGTACCGGGCTACCACTTGGTAAGAAGTAGGGTGCAATGCGCACTTTCTGTGCAGCCGGCCCTCGCTTTCTTTTCCTGGCATTCCTGGCATTAGGAGTGCCTCTACCTACTTGTGAAGGTATGAAATGCCTTCTTAAAGTGCCGAGTGTATTTTGAGCCTCTTCAAGATGCTGATCGAAGGTGAAGTCCTCATCTGCAAAAAAAAATTCTAAGTATTCCTGATCTGACAAGTTATATAATACATTTCGCAGAGACTGACTCGCCGACTGATCTTTATCTTCAGGCAGGAAACTAATGACAGCACACCACAGTTAGGGGAGGTTGCTGGGTGAAACGACGTATTGTCGCACCTTTACGACAAGAAATGACCGCTTTCTTGCTAGAAATTAGTTGACAACACCTTCAAGAAGACCTCTGTAAATTTTTAAGACTGTACCCCCACATTAACTAAACTAACGACATGGAGGAGTAAACGCTACTCTGACCATCACTCGTTCATGTAAGGGCCTACATTTGGCTAGCTCCAAGAAACGGTATTGCTAGGGTTAGAATACTACGTATATTGACATTACTCATTAGTCAGACAGCCTGGTTGGGTTACAATTTTGCATGATTATATTTCAATCTTCAGCATTTCAAATTGTTGATTTTGTCTGACGTTTTTGTTAATACAAATACTAGTAATACTAATAGGAGCACAGGCCCTTGGAGGCTCAAGTTTCAAAAGAGTATATATAACTATACCGGTATCATTTATTAAGAGCGAAGCGCTCGCTCTTAATATAGTCATATACTCTTTTGAAACTTGAGCCTCCAAGGGTCTGTGATACGATAGAAGGTACCAGTACTAGCAGTAGGGCCGAAGTGGTCAGGGGAGTCGGACATTAATTAGGCTAGTCTTTACCCCGTTCTCCTATCGCATGACGACTTAGCCCCACCAGGCTGTACGGATTGTCTATACGGTATTCTACGGTATTCAACGGTATTCATCGGTATTCTAACGGTTCATCGGTATTCTAACCCTAGCAATAGGCCTACCGTTTCTTGGAGTAAAAGCCGGCTAAAGCTAAACTGTAAAACAAGTCAAACGTTCTTCGATCTCAGCTACTACAAAAAACCAGTTTGTTATCAAATAAGAGTGAAAGAAACTTACATCAGTCATCACTGCACATTTTCAGTCACTGCCACTGACAGTAATAGGATGCAGGTAATAAATGTCTCCAAAATTAAACGTTTGGTTTTCGCGCCAACTTTCTTCTTCTTCGGTTAGTGTCGAAGTGTGACGTCACGGTGGCATGACAACGAACAGAGCACGTACAGTTGCACGTGTATTTACGGCGGGAGCGGTAACGGTAGCGCTAATATCAACATATTCAATAGCAAATACCAATAATAGAGCCAGACACACAGAGAAGACAAGCAGGAAAATGCAGCAGGTTAGATTAAAATTAACTAACTAATTAACATTAATATTATCATTATTATTTATTTAAATTAATGTTAAGAGTAGCACCCATTAAATTAAGCTGTAGGCCTATCGCGAAGTCCGCAGGAAACTTAGCATATAAGCAACTAGCCATCAGGAGCTAAATGCCTCAGTAAGCTTAAAACTAAGTTTTAAGCTCTTAAAACCGGTATTTAAGCTCCTAAACTAGGAATTACCACGCTCTTAAACCTTAGTTTTAAAGAGCTTCCAAAACCAGGTTTCAGGTCTAACACAGATTCCAGCTCCCGTAAACCTCGGTATTTAAGAGCTTAAATCCGGGTTTTGAGACCTTAAAACGCTGGTTTTTAGGTACCCTGGGAAGCGTAAAACTAGTTTTAGCTCTTAAAACCCGTTTTAAGCTCTTAAAACCGGTTTTAAGCTGTAAAACCGGTTTTAAGCTCTTAAAACTAGTTTTAAGCCATAAAACAGGGTATAGACCCTTTAAAACGGTGTTTTAAGGTCTTAACACACGGGTTTTTAAGGTCTAAAACCTACGGTTTTAGATGTCTAAAACCCGGATTTAAGGTCTTATACGTTAGTTTTAGAGCGTTAAAACCTGGTTTTAACCTTAAACCGTTTTAGACCTTAAACCTGGTTTTAAGGTCTAATACCGTTGATGGTTAAAACTAGGTTTTAAGAGTTAAAAAACTAAGGTTTTAGACCTTAATCCTGGGTTTTAGACCTTAAAACCTGGTTTTAAGCTCTTAAAACCAGGTTTTTAAGGTCTAAAACTAGTTTTTAGCTTTTTTGGCTACAAAAATGCTTATCCATATGCGTCCATGTAATCGCCATTCACAGTCTAGGCGGCGACAGGATCAGCAATTGGAGAGCATTGGAATGTATCATTACACAATCATAAGCATCGGGAGGAAATTTGCGGGAGTATAATGAAATAGTGTCTCCGTCCGGGTTCTCGATAACCGGAACATGTGTTTGCGAGCGATGCGTGGACACGCGTAAGTTCGCTGGACAGGCTCGCCTGCGAAACTTAACTCACAATGGTGCGAACTACTGGCCGCATCGGTAAATTAATGTATATCGAATCGATTTTCCGGTACTTCACTTTGCCCCGAGAAGCAAGAGCGTTACTGCCCTGCCTTACAATCAGGCGGCGCCCGTGCACCACTGGCTATCGGCTGCTCACAGTGACATATATAGGGGAACAGAAAACTATCCTGTGTCTATTCTCTCTCTCTCTCTCTCTCTTATCTCCTCTCTCTCTCTTCCGGGCTCTCTTCTCGCTCTCCTGTCTTTCTCGCCTCTCTTTCTTTTCTCTTTCTCTCTCTCTCTTTTCTCTTCTCTCTCTCTCTCTATATATATATTCCTAACGTTCTATCTTCCTAATTTAGTCTTTCCTACGCTGTATCTAAACCTATGTTATCTATCTATCTATCTATCTAATCTACGNTATAATGTATAACATGGTATAAAGAATTAAGTTTGTTAAACTCAGGTGCTATTCATCTTTTTGATAATGTTATCTATTGTGACTTCACTGGTGCAGAACTCTGCCAAATTTACCAATACAAGTAATTTTGTTAACATGAGGTGATATCCATACGTTTGGAGAAATATTTACTTTTTAAAATTTGCTCATTATTTTACGATGAAAGTGTCCCTGAACTGATACCGTGTTCTATTGACGGGTTTAGTTTATTTACCTATGTATTTAGTTTAGTTTAGTTTTCATGTATTATTTTTATGTAAAGCAAATCCCAATGATGA